CAAGTGACTGCTTTTAGTAAATGACTGTTAGCTCAAGTTAGGCTGTAACATTATGTTTGGGTTAAAGAGAGTGAAATTTTGTCTATGATGAGTAATTTAATGGGCACAGGTCTACACAAGACCGTTATATGACTTTCCTGTTAGTGGTCTGAATGAACAGGTTTTCCTGTATACATTCTTTTGTAAGGAAGTCCAAAGACATTCAGTTAGTGGGTTTGTATCTTAAAATATACACTCAGCCTTTCAGTTCTTTTAATTTAATAAATTAATGCAAGAATGTAGGATTATATATAATTATACTGCGTTACATCAAGCGTATAAAAATGCATCGCAATTCTAACAGTTGATTTCTTGTGTTAATCAATTTTATGATAAGTGAAATGTTTTCATACTTGGCCAAATTTTAATCATTGATTGATTCACAACAATGACATTGATTGTGCTGAAAACTTGGCTGTGTTTCAGATCAGTAAATTAATTCAAGATACTGTAACAACTGTTGCACATTAATTACTTTTAAATCGTGAAGATATGTTATTATAAAACTATCCCTTATTCATAACATGTTGACGGCTGATTTTTAGCTCTATTTTTCAAAGTGATTGATCTAGTTTGGTAGAGTTAAGTTATAGTTCTAGTTTTATAGAGTAAAATGATAGTTCTAGTTTCATAGAGTAAAGTGATAGTTCTAGTTTGATTGAGAGCATGTTTCCCTTCTGCCGCCATGCTCTTTGATTTATATCACAGAAATTTAAAAAAAAAGTATTACCCCCACTTGAACATGTAAAACATCTTAATTATAAGAGTGTTATAATTGATTTACATATCAAAATCACTATATCAATTAATGAAATAAGCACTTAAGTGGCATTTAAAATAGATACATATTCTGTAATGATTATCCAAAACCAATAATATTCACTAATTGCTAACATAAGTAAGTAATTTGAAAATGTTTGCTTTCCACTGCTTTAATGAAATGAAGTTGAATAATCTTGAATCTTTATTTTTACAGTTATAGGTTCTGTAAGGCTGTATATCTTTTTACCTATCAATATACACTTTGATCATTACTTTTAACATTTAATTGAAGTAACAGAAGACATTGCGGCATTTTATCATGCTTTAATTAATATTAGATGCACAATCACAACACCCGTAGGCAACGCAGCTGTCATGATCATGTACATGTACTTAAATTGTGCTGATTGCACTTAAATCATACTGTAACACAATGTCTGGTGCCTTCATGACGGCAGAAAAATAAATGATGCAAGAGTTGTTGAACTTTTCCCCAGGAAAGTCGGGCAGAGTAGGACCTTTAATCAGTACTGTTGATTTAAAAATATTTTCTTTTTTGTGTAACCGCAGCAAGTTCTAATTAACTATCTGAATGTGTGATTGTTTGAGTTAATTGAATTGTTGCAATGAATTTGTTTCTCTGAATCAACCGTGGGGAGATTTTTTTTTTGTCGGAGGGGGTGGGGGGGGGGTAGAGATTGCTTTTTATGTAGGTGGGGGGAGATTATTTATGGAAATTGATGGCAATTATTAGAAATGTCTTTCAGAGTATATAATGTATATACATGTATAGTATAATGTACATTTATATATATATATTTTTTTTTTATTACATTAAGATTATTATTTCATATTTCCCACAGATTTTGTAAAATGACTAAGTACAAGTTATTTTTCAGATCTATACAAAAGTTTACAGTTTAAGGCCACAAGCTGTTGCCTTAAACAATTTGCATAAAAATGCTTTCATATTCCCAGCATTATTATTTATTTGTCAGACGTCAAGCAGAAAAGGGTCAACTGTTTTGAACTTTTTCAATTTATACATTTTGTATATGGATAATGGTGTTACAGGTATATATAATATATAAAGTGACAAAGTGATATTGTAGTATGAATTAATTTATCAATTATTCATCATAAAGATAAATGATTAACCATTTAAGCTCAATCAGTCATAATTAATTTGACCTGATTATTGATATAGGGGTGGAGAATTAGTCCAGCCTGAACATACACAATATTCTGTTGGCTGGCCTTAAACCTAATAAGTAATTATAGATATATGCTAATTAGAATAAAAAGTCAAAGAGCTAAAAGGAGGGACATAGAATCTTCTAACTGTTGCTGTTTGAAACGGTCAAATTTTTTCTTACTATCCACTAACTAACTTAGGTAGTCCTTGACCACTTTTCATTATGTTTACCAAGATAGACACCATGTTTAAAAGAATGATAATAAAAGCTACTGAAGACAGTTTACAGAAAATAGACAGTTAGAAATGTTTTAATTTATGCCTGTTCATTTAAAAAAGTGAAGGACAAAGACTAAAGGACGTTGGCAACTATTATGCTTTCCAGGTCATGCCCCTATTTACCATGCTGGCCCAGACCTGTAAATTACTTTGTCCTCAGAAATTTTCCATAGTCATCTTGTTCTGAAATTGCAAATCACTCCACATCCCACACATTTTTATTATAATATTTGTCATTACATAATAATGTACTTATACATAAATTCATTATTCATTATTATTATTCATTATTCATTATAATTGAGGCCCACATGGAAGATCGGGAAACCGAATGTTCAAGCGTCATTAAATAAAGTTGTAATTTACTTACTATTATTCCGATGATAGTAGTTACATAACTGCTTGCTTTATTAATCTATTTAATAAAACAGCTATTTAGTATTTATGTATTCAAAATGAATACAACCAAACACCATAAATAAAAAACAATTACATTCTAATTATCTTCTTCATGATGAATAACAGAAGTATGATGAAATGGTAAAGATATGTTTTAATTTAAACTACCTCACTTACGCAATTTGCCTTGGTACAAACATATAAATTAAATGTACCCTCCCATAATTAATAAAAGTGATATGGAAATAAGATAGAATACTTTATGAAGTAATAAAAGTTTTAATTGTAATGTCAGAAAGCCTTAAACCATGATACAGTCCTCAAACTATCCATTTAAACATCGCTGAAATGTAAGAAGTTAAAAGGAGAAACATGGAAACTTTTAAGTGAATTTTGAAAATATATTTTTTATTGACCAGAATTGAATTTTTCAGGGTGGTGTTATTGCATGTATTGGCTTTTGATTTTTTTTCATTCAACTCTATGTCTCTGTGATTAAGTTTTGTTGAATGTAGATCCCTTGGGATTTGCACACTGGTATTAAGCAGTGGGATGCAGTCTGACAGCAACCTGTATCACACAGTCTAGAAGACTTATGGGTCGTTGTGACTTAAAGACCTAAAAACAATTTAGTTATTTCTTTCTCTTTTTCTTTTATGACATATTGGGTGTACTCATGAACAACAATATATTAGTAAGCAAAAAGAACATCATTTAATTTAACATTATTCCATTTTCATAAGTTTTTATCTTTATTGTTTGATGAAATAATCATATTTTAACATTGATTTTCAGGGGGTTGGGGCTCAATGTCCGGGCTGTTGATTTTTTTTTTTTTTTTTGGATTTTTTTTTTGCTGTCTCATAGTGAAAGTTAATGTCAGTTACGACTTGGATAGTAATTGAACCGTCATACCGTATGTATTAACGAGAGTCAATTATCATATCTTATCCTAGTCTACTTTTTATTGTCAGTTAAGTATACTATAAAGATTTATGTTGTCAGATAAGCATACAAAAATTACGCTTAAATCAAATTATTTTTTTACTGTATCGCTTGGCATCTTAAAAGGATACCGTTAGATGGGGCTAATGATTTTTTTATACTAATGCTAATGATTTTTTAAAACAAATTGAGTTTTAAAATGTGTTTTTGACATCTTTTGTAAGCTGTTTCTCTCCATTATAGTCGGAGTTCAGGGCATTTTAGGTTCGCATTAAATTTCTCAATATCTTTTGTAAGGATATTGCTTAATTTCATTCTTGCAATGTGTTTTTGTTAAATTTGTGAAGCAGATTAAAGAGCCTGAACAAAAACTAGTTGAAAAGTTATGTTAACTTGATATATGTCAATGCCCATTTAAGAAAGCAATTATCACATCTATGAACCTTGGGTTTGAAAGTTTGAGTTTTGTATTTCCATGGTTGTTTGGTTTTATATCATTCACCTATACTGATTGCCAGAACCCTTGCCACGCTAAAAAAATCATTACATGGACTTATCCATCTTTCAATCTGGACAAATATTCACATTCTTTCAAACCATGATCAGATGGCATTTATGTTCTGGCTGATCCTGTTCAGCACTGGTTGTATCAAACTTGCTGCTGGCAGTGTAGAAGCTGGCAGTTACTGCATTGAAAATAGTTGACTGAAATGAGGTTTTAGGTAGACTGAACTCTCACACAATATCTTTTGCCACTAGTTTTATGTTTGTTTATCAGTCAATCCTATGGGACTTATCCAGTTCCATTTTACAGGATATTCTTTAATGATCTCTACTTATGTCAGTGGTCAAAGTGACCTCAAAAATGAAAATTGTGCGTCTTCAACTTCAATAATAATTGTAGTTACAGATATAGCAATTAATTAAGTGGTCATTCATAAGATAAGTCACATTATTTCAAAAGGTCAATTATTTTTCCAAAGGTCAATCATTTCCAAAGGTCAATGCTGCTGTAACCTTGTATGAGACTTTATGTGGTTTAGATGGCATCATACAGTGGTTTCCAACTTGTAATAGTCATAAAAATATAATGTATTATTTAATAGTTGGTGAAATGTCAAGGTCACATTGTTCCAGAATATTGTTAACTTTTAAATTTATGTTATAATTAACTGAAGAAAGATTTAGTGTAACTTACATAACACATACAACAACATACACAATGATAATTGCCAGTTACACTAGTAGATTGTTGATGTTGATAAATATTGTTTATGATACATCAAGGCAAAATCAATGTGGCAGTTATAAGGCGCAAAACCTTTTTTTGTTCTTAAAATCATGCATTATTATACTTAAAAACATTTTTTTATATTTTCAGAAATTTCCCCGAAATGTGACGCCTCAGCCTGTGATTTTATCATAACACACCGATGTCCTTCTGATTCCGTTCTTGTTTACAACAGTACCCAGGCAGAAAATGCTTGTTGCAAAACAACTTACGAGTGTAGATGTGATATGTCAGTGTGTAAAGAACCAAGATGTACCGCTGGACATACCCCACAAATAATTCGCCCTAGCAACAAGCGACCAGGGTCATGTTGTGACCTTTATCACTGTAAAGTTTCTGGTAAGTTTTTTCTGTTTTTGTATGATTAAATTTTTGGAAGTGTTACTTGCACATAAATTGATTTTATTGTGGTTTATTTTTACTTTTTTCCTTTACTTCCTGTAATGTCATTCTTAGGTAAAATAAAAATTATTTTATCAATTTAAACAGTTAACGGTGTACAATAACAACTTTTATAAAAAAAAAAATATGTCTGTTTTGTACCATTTTAGTATTTAAACTAACTTCATAAAATTTTGCATTCTGTTTAATAACGTAAGAATCGCATCACATGTATATCTTTCTCAATAACAGCTGTAGTTTCAAGACATTTGGCATGTAGTTTAATCTATTGATTATATAGAAAAGAAAATACATGAAAAGAAAACACAAAATGACATTAAAGCACACAAGAAGTTCCCATTTCCATTTTAAAGAATGTACTTGAACTTAGAATCTTTTGTTAGACTCTACTTTAATTTATCTTATAGTTTCTTCAACAGATATTAAAGCGCCCCCATGCATGGTTAAAATTATACGTAATTGTTTATATGACAGACGATTGTCAAGCGATCTGTTCTTAACTTTGCAAATCCTACAAAATTCATTATCTGTCTGTTTAGTCACACAATGATCACCTTCACCATGTTTTAGGCCTATCAAAATATTGACTTAGACGCAATTTTGTTGAAGTGGGACTTGATCTTAAATTTGGCATGTGTTCATTTGAAGCATTCAATGGCAGTGTCAGGTTTAACTGCGAGAGGGTGCAAGTTTGAATTGTACCTGTCTTCATTTACAAAGTCATCCCCTGGAGTGTTTTTGAATTTCGATTGCATATCATTCCTTTTCTTATCTTTTCTATCCTTTACCCCTTAATATTTATCTTTGGGTTAATACATACACCTGTAATGAATATGATTTATACTGCATTTTTATCATTCAGCTTATATAATTGCTCTATTAAAAATATAAAAACTGTATGAAAAAAATGATAAAATATGAAATTGCCATATAATTGAGATCATATTATGTCACAGCACTTAATTTATGTTGAAATTCAAGCATATTAGATAAAAGTGTCGTAAAAATGGTTCGCACTGAGAGTGATACCTTAAAAATATTTTTCAAAAAAACCTAGATCACATTTTGCTTTTAAATATTATTAACCTGATAAGTTAGGGTCATCAATAGGGTCATAAAATTGATCATTTTCAAATTTGTAACTGTACATTGTTAAAACTTTGAAATTTAGAATGCAAGATAGTTTTTGTCACCTGCTGCTTTTTATATCTGCAAAAAAGATTAAAAATATTTAAATAAATTACATTGACAAAGCAATATACAGTATAGATCCAGATCAGATTGTACATCCTGGCTATTAATTTTGCCTAACCCTTAACCTGTTGAATTTTGTAATGAAATTGCCCTGCTTTTGGCTTTTTGTAATGGAATTGCCGTGCTTTTGGCTTTGTGTAATGAAATTGCCGTGCTTTTGGCTTTGTGTAATGAAATTGCCCTGCTTTTGGATTTTTGTAATGAAATTGCCCTGCTTTTGGCTTTGTGTAATGAACTTGCCCTGCTTTTGACTTTGTGTAATGGAATTGCCCTGTTTTGACTTTGTGTAATGGAATTGCTCTGTTTTGACTTTGTGTAATGGAATTGCCCTGTTTTGACTTTGTGTAATAGAATTGCCTTGTTCTTAACTATCAATCTTTTGGGTTTAGTTAGCTTGAACTTTTGAACTCAATAAATAATATAATTCCATATATGAAACTCAAATTTGCAGGGTTAATTAAGGGACAGGTGATTTGAAGTCAGTGAATTTAAGCATGGTTAGTTTGTGCACTTTAGATATAGTGACTTGGGCTTTATTATTCTGCTATGTCCTTTACAGATTCTCTCCTAGGTATAAGATTAGAAAATGTGACATTAGGCAATGGGTGAAAATTTTGACAAAATACGCTATCAGTATTACATACAAAGGATTTAGGAAATTTAAAGACCTGTCTGTGAGTTGGGGTTATAATAACTGTGTCAGGAAAAGAACATGGTTCTGCATGAACTTCAATAAAAGCTTTGATTGCACTTATCATTCAAAATGAAGGCACTTCTCAAATACTTGGGACTATTTCATAGCTACTCATAATTTCTGTAAAAACTAGATAAGAAATCAATGCAAAACTATTGCAACTTAGCTCTTATAGATTTTGTAAGTTATGACAGTTTTTCAGTAAATCCTTATATGAGCCGTGTCACGACAAAACCAACATAATGGGTTTGCGACCAGCATGGATCCAGACCAGCCTGCGCATCCGCGCAGTCTGATCAGGATCCATGCTGTTCGCTAATACAAACCCTATTACTAGTAGAGAAACTGATAGCGAACAGCATGGATCCTGATCAGACTGCGCGGATGCGCAGGCTGGTCTGGATCCATGCTGGTCGCAAACCCATTATGTTGGTTTTGTCGTGACGCGGCTCATATGACTTCTACGCAAACAAGAACATTTTCATTGGCAAATAATATATAACTCTAATCATTATATTATCAGCCTTTATATCAACAATTTGATGATCTTTTAACAAGAGCATAGTTCGTTATTATTAAATATTCACTAATTAAATGTACACTATACAATTCTATTAATACAGTTTCACTTATAAAATGTACATAATCAAGATTCTAATATTAATATGTGTTTATTGATTAAATGTACATTATACAATTCTTTAAATAAAATTTTAGTACCATTTAGTTTCATTAATTTACAGATTAAATGTACATTATAAAGATTCTTTTGATACGGTTTCAGTAAGCCAAGGTACATGTACATTATACAGAGATTCTTTTAATATAATTATATTCACGGATCAAATGTGCATTCTAATGATATGCTATTAAGAAATTTTCACTGTTACAAAGATTCTATGAATAAATAATCACAGATTAATTGTACTTTATAATAAAGTTTCATTGCATTATCAAAAATTACATTACAAAGATACTAATAAATACTCATTATTGAAATAATTATAATATATAGATGTAAATTATAAAGGTGCTTTTAATAAATGTCCACTAATTATAGTACATTGTAAAGACTCTTTTAACAAATAATCATAGTACAATACTAAACTGCCCACCCATTTATAGGTTAAGCCAGCTCTTGACCCAAAACAAACTTGTTGTGTAAAAACAGCTCATAGAAAATATTTTTGTGTTAAAGAAGTACACAAATAATTGTTGTATGGTCAACCTTGGCCTGGTGGTCAGTCAGTCAGTCTTCAAGTACTTGTGATTACATACTGTTAAATATTTACCGACAAGCCATTTTTGTTATTTGTTTATTTAACACTGGGTCTTGCTGGGATCAGTTTCAATGTCAGTGTGGTTTATTGACATTAAGTTCATTTTTGACCAAATATTGACCATTCTAGAGATAGGAAACACATTTTCAATGACCTCAAGGACCCACCACATGTGAGAAATCATAAGTATTGAAATAATAAAGTGTCAGGTTTAAGGCCACTTGACCAGGAGATGTCATCATTAACTATCATGTTAATCTTGTTGAGAAGCCCTTCTTTCAAAGTTGGTAATCTCTTCTAAATTCTTTTTACAATGTTGTACTGGAATGACTTAAAGTGTTCAACATTGACATAACCTGTATGTTCAGTTCACTGAGGTAAAACTGAGTACCACAATGCATTGCAAACCCTCGTAAATATACCAAAGAATTATGATATTAATAATAAAAAAAATGAATCAGTTCAAACAGGTGAAAAGAAAAATATTCATATTTACTGTCACATTATTTTATCACCACACTGCTCTTTATTGCATTCTTTCTTAGTGAACGATTGCTGTTTCATGGTCAAGGTCATAATTTCGACAAAAAAACTCACAGGTCTAAAATGTTACACACACATGTTGCCAAAACATCATGCATCATAGGTCACTTAATTTGACACAGAGAGGTGTCTGTTGCTGAGTGGTTAAGGTTGTTGACTTCAAACCACTTGCCCCCAAAGGCTGTGGGGTGGGTTCAAATCCTGTCAGGGACTTTGGATTCTTTCCTGTGAGGAAGCTATCCAGCTGGCTTTCAGAACTTTGGTGGTTCTTACTCATGTGCATGTTTGTACCTGAAATAATACATCGAGGGGCACCTGAGGTCTTCCTTTACTTGTAAAACTGGGAAGTGCCCATATTACCTTCATACTGTTAGTGCAATGTAAACCCACCATCTACCCAACCACTACACAGTTATTTGACATTGGGTGATAAATATTTGGAATTTTTGCATCAGCTTCTTTCAAATGAATTTCTGTTGGTACTGACACGATAATAGTGGAACAGTTATGTTTCTGTATTTAGTCTGCTTGGCCTTCCTGCGCATTTAGTCTGACATATTGCACATATTCAAGGAGATCCTTGTTTAAGCTGTACGACATAACACATATTCAAGGAGTCTCATGTTCAGGCTATACAACATTAAACATATTCAAGGACATCCATGTTCAGGCTATTCAAAATTGCACATAATTATTCAAGGAGATCCATATACAGGCTATACAACATTGCACATATACAAGGACATCCATATTCAGGCTATACAACATTGCACATATTCAAGGACATCCATATACAGGCTATACAACACTGCAAGTATTCAAGGAAATCCATGTTCAGGCTATATATAACATTACACACATGCAAGGAGACCCATGATCAGGCTATTCAAAATTGCACATATTCAAGGAGATCCATGTTCAGGCTATACACTATTGCGCATCAAGATTGTCTTGCTCACATTCCAACTTTACGAGGCAGAAGATAAATGATGTATGTACAATAACACTAATGAGCGCCACCATACATTATAAGAAGCTGTAACGTTGTACTATGATAACACTAATATCGCCATTTGTCATTTGAACTGTCAGTTGCAGTAGTCAACTCAAATAAAACATAATTATTTTAGCAAGCATGTTGGATTCAGACCGACTTTTAGTGCATA